AAATTCCCTGCCAAGGCGCAGTGTCTGCCTTGGAGACATGTGCAAGTCCAAATTCCGTGGAGTCCCGTGCTTCAGCAGCGATTATGTGACCTGGGGATGCTGCTGCTTAGCTGAAGCAGTGCAGCTGGTAAAAAAAGGAAGGATGCTGGCAACACCTGCTCTGCTTGCCGCCTCAGGCAGCTTGGTCCCCATTGCAGAGGGACGTCACGAGCACGTGAAGTGCTGACACGATGAGCACCAGCCTCCAGATGCTCAGTGGGCACCGGTGGGCAAGGGATAAGTGGAGGCACATCCAGGACCAGTGGCTGACGACGTGAGGTCAGGCAAGACGAACGCAGAGATGGAGCAACACTGTGCTTCCCTTGCACTTGAGGGAATTCATGCCACAAGGAAAATATTCAGTGTGCACGTTCACCTGTTTCCAAAGTACAATTGTACGTCCCTGCTGCTTTCGGCGTACATACTAACACCACCCTGCTCTGAAGAGGTTTCAGTTGAAACCGAGCAGCTTCCTTGATTCTATGTCCTGTAAGGCTGAAATGTATTTTCTCATTCAGAAATACATTTCTGTGTAAAGAGAGTAGGCGGAGCATATGTAACGTGTAAGAACGACGTGTTTCATTTTACTTTGGCATTAAGGCCTTGTTGCTCACCGCCGTTAGCACAGCAACCCAAGCTTCCTTCGCTAACACTGTTAGGACAAGGCTGGGTCTGACAGCCCAAGCCAGGTTTCTGGCAATCCTTTCTTGTTTGGGGCTGTCCTTTCCAAAAGATATAGGGCCAGACGCACCGGTACCCTCCGGCTGTTGGGTGCAGTTCGGCTGACACACAGCAGCCATAAACCGACGCTAACTGGCTGGTTACGCCTGCTCTGTGTCACTGAAGTGTATCTGAGAGTCTGGCCCCTGATCTGCACAAATCCTTTTAGGAGGACTCTAATGTATGTTTTGTTTTCTTCTCTTTTGCAGAAAGATATACGAGGAAGAGTGAGTACTATGCCTTTCTTACATGTTATCTTTAAAATGTCTTTATCTTCAGTATGCTTAACACTGTACACGTGGAAGTTTTAAGAACACAAGCCTATTGTGTCTGTATAGCCCACAGATTTTTCCAGGACACATGTGATAAAGACCCTCAGTTTTCATTTCCCTAAGCCTGCCTAATTACCGCTGCACTAGCTCTGTAGTGTCTTTCAAAACTTGTGGTGTATGAAGTGACTTAATTTGGTTGCCAATTCATTTGGAGCCTTTTATTAATACCTCGCTGTCTTATAAATGTGCTCAGAGAGCTCTGAGATCCGCCGGAGTGGCTGTGAGCGACACAGCGTCGCCCTGAAACCCAGACACCGCGACACCATTTCGCATAGGCCCCTGCAGACCTGCTCCAATACACACAGGGTCACAGGCGAAGCTGTTTCTAAGGTGATGACCCCTTTGGTAGCCCTGTATGGGAACCCACCTTAGGATCCTCCCTTTGCCAGTGGCTGGAAGAACATCAGAACGAGCTCATTGCCACACTGCCAGAAAACTCGCCCAGCCAGCGGTGACTTGTGGTTAAGGCCCTCGCGTGCCAAACGCGGTGGCTCTGGCAAGCGTAGAGTGTGGCACAGCTGCAGTTTCTGGACATCCAGCGGGCTGGGACCACCGAAACGCAGCGTCTCCTGAGGGGACCTGCAGGGCGAGGTTAGCTGAAGTGACGATCACAGCCCCAGACAGAAATGCTGAGAGAGGAGAGGAGCGAGTGTGCTCCGGGTGGGTAGGAGAGGAGCAGGTGTAAGTCAGAGGATTGGTTAGGCAGCCAATCCCACACCATAAATAAGGTCACTGTAAAATACACTGAAGGGCTTGCATGTTGAAATTCCGCAGCTGGAGTTTTCAGACCTTGATCTATGTATGATAGAGAATAGTTTTTCTGCATTTCATGTTGACAAGGGACATTCCTGTATACTCCAGTCTCCGAAGGAGCGGGGCTCCAAGAGGAACAAAATATCCAGAGTCACAACAGGATGGTGCGAGACAGCAACACATGTAGAAATAGCTCCAGATTCCCCATGGAGGGTAAATGTAACTCCCTTTCTGAGCTGGAACTGGCTCTTACCAGCTGTGCAGGGTGCAGGAGACTGTGGGACCCCCCAGCTTGGCTGCCTCGCATGGTGTGGTGGCGTTTGCCTTCCCACTGGCTGGCACTGCACTCAGAAATGCCGTGACCTGCAGCGCAGCTCACAGGTTGCAGCGTCTCAGCATCCCTTGGGCAGGTCTGCTCCCAGAAACCTGGTTAACGCCGAGCTGGAAACTGCAGCGTAGCTCACCCTGAATGGCCTGCGATGTCACTGCTCCCAGATTGCTTTTCATTCAAGCATGATCAAGAGAACGATTACATAAATATCAGACAATGCTGCCCTTTCCTAGCAGCTCCAAATCCTGCTCAGGGTAAGAGCTGTGCAGCCTCAGGGAATTCCCTGCGGTCGCATGAGTCTCAGGGCAGTGAATTACTTGCCCTGTGTGTCTAGTACTAAATGAACCCACGCACGGCAAACCATGACCCCCAAGGCTTTGCGTCGCGCTGCAGCCTGGGATACCCACACCACAACTGCCAAACTGAGGTGCCACCAGCCTCAGCCCTGCCGCAGCCCGCTGCCTGGCCTGTGTGCTGCCGGGCCTAGCACATGGCACCGCCCCGATCGCCCGTCTGCACAGCTCATGGCCACGTGTGTTTTAAACAGCCGGGAGTTCTTCTGCCCGTGTGTTGGGGTTGAGCCCCAGCCGGCAGTGAAGTACCACGCAGCCACCCGCTCACCTCCCCCTCCTCCAGTGGAGGGGCATGGTTGGAGGCGAAGACAGGGAAGCTCATGGATTGAGATAAGAACTGTTTGATAATTGAATATAAATGAATATTATAGTGATATTGATAGTATTAACAATGCTACTGCTACTAATTAATTGGGGGGGACCTACAAGGAAGGCCCTTGGGGGCTACAAGGAAGCTGGGGGGGCCTTTTTCCAGGGGCCCCA